GCGGGAGGGAGCGGGCGGGCGGCTCCGCCGGCTCCCCCCCACCCGGGGGGGCTCCCTGCTCATCCGGATGGATGTCACATCCACTCAGGGCTGATCCCGCCGAGACGGGAGGTGCCAGGCGAGGGCGGCCGGGCTGGAGGGGCCGGGGAGGGAAGGGCAGGCTCAGCTCCAGCTTGGAGGTGGGGCACGTCCCCCTGCCTCGACACTCTCTTCAGGAAGGAGTCCCCTGTTTGTCCCACAGCCCCACGGCTGCCAGGCACCCATCCCCTATCACCACTGCGTGTCCCGAAACAGCTCCGTGTCTCTCCAGAGTGCAGCGATACCTCCTAGGGCCCTTGCTGCCCCAGCTCCATCAGGTGGCCAGCACCCACAGCCTGGTTTCCCCATTCCCTGCCCCACTGCTGACTGCGGTACCATGTCTGGCACATATATACGGCCCGTGGTGTGAATTCACCCTCCAGCTCTGCACCTCTTGCTTTCCTCCCATCCCTGTCCCATCGTTTGCCCGTTCCCCTTGCATCCTCTGCCAGCTCCTGCGCGTTATCCCCATACACCCTGGCGTGGGTGTGCTCTTCCTCCGCAGCGTGAGCAGCTCCTGCTGTCTGCTGCCTTCACCCTGCATCACCCCGCTCAGCCAGGCAAGCGTCTGCACGGGCAGTAACTGTCTCCCACTGCACTGGGCACAGCTCGAAGCAAGGGCCGGGAAAAATCCCTCTATATCCCTTTGGCCGCTAAGAAGGGGCAGGCCAGAGAAGCAAGTTTCTTGTTGTGTATAGATGTTTTATTGAACAGTTGAAATCCCCCACTGATGTGCAGCTCCCAGCTATCACACTGCTCCTGAGTTTTTCTCTTTGAACGCATGCCCTGGGCTGCCCGGGCAGCCTCCTTGTAAACTTCCCTTTGCAGGACTTCTGCCTTCAGGCAGTGAGACCAGCAAGGCTCCCTTCAGCTCACTGGTGCCTTACAGCCCAGCCCATTCATCACAGTGATTTAAAGAGCATCAGTCTGATTCATGATTTAAATCGGCAAGCAGGAAGCCTTAGCTCCATCATTGATTTTTCATCTCTGTTACATTTGTGCTTTTTAACTTTTATTATTAAAGAAAAACTCACTCTGCTGGATAGTGTAGCCATCCAGCTTTGGTGGCTTGCAGGCAGGCATGGCCTTTACTCTGTATTTGATAATTCTCCTTTGATAACCAGGAGGACATGCTGTGCTTATCCCATTTATTTTAGCAATAACTCACATGTATTGTGATAGGCTGTCTTTTGTAGATTTGTTATGTTACAGAGAATGCCAACTATTCCTAGTGATAACTTTTTTCCCTTGGTGCGTGTGTCAGTCCACATTGAGATAAAAAGTGGAGTTTCATTTGAAATTTATAAACCCCACATTTTATTATTTATCAGTTAGCTTCAGCAACCTTGAGTGTGAACACAACCATAACAGGAGAAAAAGGCTGTAAAAACAGTAACCAGTGAGTGTATTTTTGAGGTGAGTGAATTATAGATTGCTGCTGCTCAGCAGGAGCCAAATTTTTTAGCAGTGTGATAATGCAGATAGATGGGCGCCTGCCCCACGGTCATGATTTGGGCTATTTTATTAAGAGTTATGTCTCTGCATCTCTGAAGCCTAAACACAATTGAAAATCCAGCCTCATATCCTCCAGGAATTCAATCCTGTCTGGTTTGTACTCAGAAACAGGGAGAAGAAATCATACTTTCCTCTATTTCCAACTGTCATTTGGTTTCTCACTTTCAAATGATGAGATCTAAGTGAAGGGCTTAGCATCTCAGCATCTGTCAGAAGGCAAAAGCAGCCAAGACAGTCTTCTCTGCATACCAAGAATTCAGAGAAAATCAGGGAAGGATGAGTACAAGTTTTAGCTCTGCTGGGAGAAAGAAACATGTCAGCAGCCCTGACAGTGGCACTGATGGGGCTCCAGGTCCTGCCTTCCCCTGCAGCTCCCTACCCACAGCTGTGGACTGGCTGGTCTCACCTCTGGATAAGGTCTCTGGGCAGAGGCAGGCAGGCAGGTAAGCTGTGTGCAGGGAGGGCATGCTCCATTCCGCCAGGGCAGGACTGTTGCAACCACTGCTTTTTGGATCTGCTGGTGTTGACAGCTCTGTCTGTGCCACCAATAGCAGCTGTGGCATGTGCTGGTGACACACTTTAAGCCCAGTCTGACCTCCAAAGAGGCTTCTTGCCCATGCTGCTTGTGTTACACTCCTCAAGCAAGTGTAATTGGAGGATGTCTCAGTGATCCAGTGTATCTTTTTTTTTTTTCTTCCCCCTTATTGAAGTGATTTTAGTAGGCTGTGGGTAGTAAATATATTCAACCTAATGTAGGATGAATGAAACCCATTTTAAACTGCATAGTGTGCTCTCTTGGTGTGTCTGGGGTGCTGGTCTGTGGGGGAAGTGCCTGAGCATCCTAACACCCTGGAAAGAAAGCAAACCAGGTTCCTGGGGACTGAGCAAAGGGCTGCCAGCATCCCTGCAGTGGTGCTGGTGTGATGCCCACAATGAACCTCACCTGCTTCTTGCAGCAGGATGAGATTTGAAGGGGGTTGTCTCACCTGAAGCATCTCTTTCTCCTGCTGTGAGGGCAGGGCACCTTTTGCCTGACCTTCTCATGGCCCACGGACTCCTTGTGTCCTCCCTCCCCTAACTAGCTCTCCTCGCCCTTGTTTCAGGGCTGCCTGAGGATGTGTCGCCCCTCAACTTGGCCATCATCTCAGGGGTGCTGGGAACCCGCCTCACCGTCCCTGTGTCACCCTGCTGGGCTCCAGACCTGACACCTCTGTGCCCTCCCCCGGTGGGATGGCGCAGGCAGGGGGACCCGTTCGTTTCCACCCTGAGGAGGGCTGCGCCGCATCGCCCCCACCGTTCGCCCGCGGGGTGGACCGGAGGCCCTGGCTGGTGGAGGGGAGCCCCGAGGTCGGGAGGCACAGCCCCCCGTGCTGCCTCACCCCCAATCTCAATGCAGGCCGCCTCCACCTCCTGCGCAGGGGCCTGGCCCCCGATGTCCGCCACTGCCCCCTTGGCCTCTACAACAGCACTGGTTCCTTGGCCCGCAAGCCAGCAGAGGCAGCTCACTTCGGCAACGGGAGCTGCCTGGGCACGGGACGCCTGACAGCGCCCTGCACCCCACAGCGGGGCCGGCCCAGCCCGGCGCTCTCCTCCCTGGGCAGCCGCAGCCCGCTGGTGGCAGCGGCCTCGGAGGGACACAGCTCTATCGTCACCTTCCGCTTCATTGAGAAGGCCAGCGTGCAGACCCTGGGCTGCCTGCCGCCCCCCCAGCCCCACTGGGAGAATGGCCCCCGCAGCCTCAGCTGCAGCCTGGAGCTCGGCGGGGACGCAGGGTCCCCCCAGCCCCTGCCCCTGCTGCAGGAGCGGCTCCTGCGCACGCTGAAGCTGGAGGCCTCCACATCCGACCCACTCCTGGCTGAGGGCAGGACCCCAGGGGGAACACGTCCCAGTGGGAAGGAGCCCTGTCCCCTCAACACCGACTGCCTCTGCTGCTCCCTTGCCAATGGGCTGCCAGAGGACTTCTCTGCCTTCGCCAGGAGCCCCCTGAAGCCAGAGTCCCGACCCCAGGTAGGTGTCGGGGTGCCCCACACCGGGAGTGGGCTCTGCCCCAAGGTCCATTGCCTACTCACCACTCTCCCCTCTGCAGGGCAGTGCCTGGCCGTACCCCCGGCAGAGTTCAGCCCATGCCCAGCGCATCGCCAGGGCCAAGTGGGAATTCTTCTACGGCTCCTCAGATGGCCCAAAACCAGGTAAGAAGCAGCAGGGGACACCCTTCATCTGGACCAACCTCTCCTTTGCTAGTCTGAATAGTTGTTGGGACTCCCCCCAGGGCTGCCCATCCCTCAGGACTTGTTGGTGCCCACCAGACAGCCAAGACCCCCCCAAGATCAGCCAGCCTGTGTCCTCCTTGGGCCAGATCTTGCAGGCACCAGCTTCCCTGCAGAGTCCCCTGTGGCTGTGCAAAGCATCACACAAAGGGGGTGATGCAGAACCCTGACCCTGCGCAACCCTCTGCTGCCTCTGCAGAAGGGCTTTGGGGTTCAGATGCGGGCTGAGGGCTGTCTGTGGGTGCACTAGCACTGACAGAACCTTGTCTCTGCCTCTCCTACCCCTATTCCATCTGGCTCCTCCTCTCCATTTCCCAATGTCCATCACACGTGTAACCCCACTCTTGGGGTGTGTGTGAGATGCCATGGGAGTGGCTCCCCAGCACTCTCCAGCACAGCTCCCCATGGCTCTGAGTGCTCGGTGCTCCCTTGCAGGTTCCTCTGCCCCTGACTCCGCTCCCCTAGCTGAGCCCCTCCAGAAGCCTGTCTGCCCACTGCCTACTGAGCCACCGGACCTGGTGCCCGAGCACAGCCTGAGCCATGTGGAGGTGGAGATAGAGATGTCGCCTCTGGGTGGCCAGAAACCTGGCTCCTGCGAGACTGGGATTATAAAGAGGACGGTGAAGTATTCTGAGACAGACCTGGACACTGTGCCGCTAAGGTGCTATCGTGAAACCAACATCGATGATATCCTGGCCGAGAAGGAGGAGGTGGATTCAGCAATTGAGAGCCAGAAGGACAGTGAGAGTAACCCAAGCTTTGGGGGCACACCAGGCAGGAGGAACAGTACGCCAGATGAGCTCCCTGTCCCAGGCGCTGGCTGCCTGAAGGATGGACTGCAGGACGAGGACATGGATGAAGATGATGAGGTGTTTGAGGCAACAAGGAAGGAGAACAGGGAAAGGTGAGGCTCCATGAGTGAGGGCAAAAAGCTCTTCTCACTCTCCCTATTGACCCCTGCATGGCAAAACAGGCTCTGCCAAAAGAGTGTCTGAGCCAAAAATCCCAGTAGCTCCATGTGAGCTCTGTGTAGGGGTCAGATGGGGTCCTGAATCTCCCGGCTGGGGTTGGGATTAGGACTGGTGCTGGGACCAGGCCTGGGAGGGGGTCCTCACTGTCCTGTGGAAAGAGTAGGGCAGCACAGGTGTTGCAGCCCTGGGTGCTGTGCCTTGGGCTTTGCTCCCCTTGGGGTGAGCCCTGCAGCTTAGGTCACCTGGTTGAGCTTAGGCTTCCTAGGATGAGTCCCCCCAAAGTAAATTGCATCCTGCCCCAATGCTGCTGGATGTTGGGATGACAGTGTTGGGACACCTGAGCCAAAGTTGTATCCTGGAGCTGTTGTGTGCTGGCAGGCTCTGCTGGGTTGCCCTCTCCTCTGCAGACGGCTCTGCTTTAGCTGCAAGATTAATCCCTTTTACTTGGCTTCAGTAGGTATTTGCCGTGTTTGGGAAAGAGTAGGGGATATGTTGGGCTGGAAAAAACCTTTTGTTGTCTTTTGTGTCATTTTTCACTTGTGTGGCAAAAAACCCTGTCCCAGGAGGCTGATGGAGTGGGTGACACCAAGGTTATCATTCAGTTGCCCACCTGTGGCAGCTAATGCCATCTGAGCTACCATCTGCCCTGTGCCAGGCACTGGCAATTAGGACCTATGAGATGGTGTTTTGGCTTGGCGTCATGAGATTCTGCCTGTGGAATGTCCTCTGGAGTGATGGTTTGACCATGAGGAGTGACAGGCATCATCCACCTGCCCCAGGAGACATCAGGAGGGGAAGGAGCTCCAGAGCACTGTGTGGGACAGCCACCTGGAGGGGAAGGGCCCTGGCAAGGAGTGGGAGATGCCTGTGTATGCAGGCAGTGGTATCCAAGGGCATCTCCTGATATGTGTATTGGCAAAGAGTCGGGTGAGATGAAGGGGCTCAGCATCATCAGCAAATGCTCTGCAGGAGTGGGGAGAGGTCTTGCCTGGGAAGCACAAAGCCAGGGTGATGCCTGGGATGTCACATGGTAGCATGTGCTCATCTAGCTGTGCAAAAGATAGTCAGGGAGTGTTTAGGTGGAAGAAAAGAAAAAGAGAGGTTTTGATGTTAGTGGTGGGAAAAGATATTGAAAATATAACTTCCAGTGCTGCTCTTGCACTGGGAAGGAGAAGCATGAAGATGGTGGGCTGATGGGGAGGGAAGGTGTGCGTCCTGACCAGAGCTGGGCTTCTGGCGGTTTGTCCAGCCCTTGTATCTCTAGTGGAGGGGACAGATACATCCCTCCCTGCTGCCCTCCCTGTCCTCAAAAACTTTGGGTTCTAGAGAAATCCTGAAAATAAGCTTTTTTTTTTTTTTTTCCTAAATGAATAGTGATGGAAGTTTTGAGTAAGGTGTAAAGTTATTATTAGTGCAAGGAAGTTCTCCAAGTTACTGTAACGATTACCTTGCATAGTGATACTTTATTTCCAAGTATGTTCTAGACCACTACAAGTCCTACGAGCTGTATGAGCTCCTATGACCCTCTGAAACACCTTTCTGTAGCTTCCCAGACAGCGCTGAAAGCTTGGATGTGTCCTTAAATGCATCATTGCCCTTAAAAGACAGTGCTCGCAATATAATTACCAATGTGTATATAGGAGCGTCATGTTCATTTTACCATTTGTAGACCAATGGGGTTTTTTTTGCTTTGCAGCCCCCTGAATATTCCCCAGATAGATGCAGACCTTGTGGGCAGCATCTTGAAAATCACGAGCCTCAAGCTGCGAGCTTGTTTAGCGCCTGCATCAGAGCCCTGGGTTTTTGCTTACGCACTGTTTCTGAGCTCTGCAGCTGCAGTCCTCTTCCCTGTTTAACAGTCACCAGTATTGATGTTTTCTACTTAAAGCTTTCTGCTTTGCTTGCTCACAGGAGGGGTGATACTGTGTGATTAAGAAGTCCCCTGGGCTCCCCAGAGCCAGCACTGTTCTACTGCTGCAGGAGCTGCTGTACCTCAGGCCTGTCCTGGTAGCTGAGAAGGACCAGCTCTACAAAATTACTGAAGCACCTTTGGATGCTGATTTGCAGCATTTAGACATGTAAATATCTTTGAAAGTCTAGCCTTAAGGGTTTAGCACACTTTGCAAGGGGAATTTTGGGTTGGTACTATCTTGATGTCCTTCAAATTCTGGCCAAAAGGCAGCATCTTTGGTGTTTTACCCTCCCAAAATAAGAGAGCATGCTAACAGCTAAAAAAATCCAACACCAAATCAAACGAGACATGGAAAGCAATGAAAGAAATGGTGTTTTCTTCCAGCAAATCCACTCCATGAATGTAATTAGAGTTAGATCTATGGACTCTAATGACTAACCTAAGCTTTTACTGTCTTTATTCCCATTAGTCCCAGAGAGCCAAGACCTGTCTGTAAGAGCAGGCTCAACTCCCTTCCTCCCCAAGCATCATCGGCAGACATGCTGGCTAAGTTGGAGGCGGGGCCCGTCTTGGCCCACAGCACGGGTGCCTTGGGCTGATAAGAGAGAAGAGGCTTTGCTGGGGGTGCCCTGCTCCCCTGAGAGTGTGGACAGCTGGTGGGCGGCAGAGACGTTTTTTCTCCCTCCGAGCAGAGCAGCCTTGCCTAGGAAAGCCCTTGGATCTGCTACCTGGAGAGCCTTTCCAGAGCCTTTGTGCTCACTGCTTGGTATTGAGCAAATAGCTGCAGGACAAGCCTTGTTGGGGATTAAAAAAAAAATGGTTATGGACTTTGATTTCATCAAAGACTTAACCATAACACCTGGCAGGTTCTTAACCTGCCTCTGATGTGTTGTGCTGAGGCTGAGCCTCTGTCCCAGAGCTCAACGTGGCCATGGAGCCACAGCTCAGGGTGATGCTCCCGCATTCCACAGGCTCAGGCTGGAGAGGGGATGCTCAGGGTGATTGCTGGCAGGCACCTGCCAATGAGCTGGGGTGGTGCCTGCAGCTTGTTGGGAAGGACTGGGGGCAGAATGACCTCAGCGTGATGGTGGGGACATGGCAAGAGGATGTGGACAGCTGGGGAGGGACTGCAGCGCCTGTGGTTGGCGCCTGTGGTTGGTACCTGTGGCTGAGCACAGGTTGAAGTTAGGATACTGAGCCCTAAGAGCAGACAGCTTCCAGACTGGAGGTGATGTGCAAAGGAGCCTGGGGAGAGTACAAGGAGCTGCTGGGGCTTTGTTCAGAGAAGGATAAAGTTGAGGGGATGTTGGGTGGTGCTGTATGGCCTCACCTTCTTTGCGCTGAGCTGGGATCCCCACGCAGCACCTGCCATGCCTGTGTAGGCAGGAGGAGTGAGGTATAGCTGAGGCAGTCAGGGGTCTGGATGGTCACAGGAGCATTTATCAGAGAGAGAAAACTGCTGAGGGCCTGAGAAGAGAGATTCCCCTCTTTCCCACCCCCACCAGGGGTGGCACAGCTCTGCAGCACCAGGCAGGGAGAACAGGGTGAGCCCCCATCAGATGCAGCTGCTGAGGCCCAGGTGCTCAAACCCCTGTGGTCCCTGCAGGCAGACCTTTTCTTGAAGTGCTGCTGGATTTAGCACTAACATGCAATGCAGTATGGCTGTCGGCTCCCAGGATCCTCTTCCCCTCTGTACCAGCTTCACCCTCTCCCAGGGAAGGCTCACTGCCTCTCCCACCCCATGTCAAGACTGAAAATCTATTTGCTTTCCTGCTGCCTTTGCGCAATGCTCGATTACAGCCTCTGCGTCTCCTCCCCTCTGCTCCTCCCAACTGCGGTTGTCTGTGCTTGATGACAGTGCAGTGACCCTTCCTGTGGGGCCAGAGAGGAGCACAGGGGGAGCTGGGCAGCACTGCAGGGGCTGATGGAGTATCTAGGTCTGAGCAGGAGTGGTATATGTAGGCAGCATTGTGCCTGTGCTGCTGTGACTAGATCCTTCTGGAGCTGAACGGCTTTGTGCTTGATATTTCGGTATGGAGAGATTACTTCCAGAGCTCAGATGGTGTGGACAAAACCAGCTGTGTTTTTATTGTGGCTTGGTGACAATATAGTTGATCACAAGAATGAGCCCAGCTCCCTCTCCTGGGAACAAGGTCTCTTCCGTCCTCTGGTGCTGACCTCCTCGGCAGAGCCTGTCACACTCCTTATGGATTCAAGGCACAAAACAAAGTCAGCAGCATTAGCTCAGTTTAGTAGCACACAGCTGGGTAGTAAGGACAGTGAATGCACATTCGCATCTGTGAAGCTCATCTGCAGATGTTAGAGGCCTCTTCTGCCTAGTCCTTGCCAGAAAGCCACACCAGAGGTGGCTGCTCCTGGGGCTTCTACAGGAATGGTAAGAGCATTGAGTGGTGCTGCACAGCCAGGGAAACGCTGGTGCATGGGTGAGAGTGGCCTCCACCCTGCCTTGCTTACCTGTGCCTGGCTTTGCTGAGCTCCCCTTGAAGCCAGCCAGCACTCTGGGGGCGTCAAGCTGCCAGCTCTTGGCCTGCTGAAGTAATCAGGGTGAGATTTTTGAGCGGTATCTGAAGGCTAATCAATGATAATCATTTGGCGTTGTAACAGCAACGCATCTTCTGAGCCCTCTGTATGAAGCTGTTTGTTCATACAAATGTTATGACAAGCTGGAGCAGTTCGTCTCCTTTAATCAGAGGAGAGAGTGGCATAACAAGTGCTTTTCTGCTGCTTTAATAAAAGCAAAGTGTCTTATGAGTAAAGTAGGCTTTTAGGCCTGTTTTTAGGCTGAAGTATTGATATTCCCTGGGTTGGAAATGTCCCTGCTGTCACATGCTCAGATGGATGGGCAGGCTGCATTTCATTTACAGGACAAAACAGTCAGGGCTTCAGGGTACTCTGCCTCATTTACAAGACAAAATGTTCTGGGCTTCAGGGTTTAGAAACTCCTGTGCTGGGCTGGACCCAGACCTGCATTGGAGACAGGCTGGGCCTTCCTGTGGGGCTGATCCTCATCAAGATGATGAGCCAGGACAAAGACTGGCCCCTAGGATATAGGCCAGCTCAGGTCCCCAAGCCCAGAGCTGGGTTTGAGGCTTCCTCCGTACTGCCTGGGAAAACCTGGATCTCAGCATTGCCTTGTGCTGAGTCCCAGATGTCTCCTGGGACCAGCCAGCAGACCTTGCAGGTGGGTGTTAGTCATGTCTTGAGCATGGTGCTCAGCGACCATGGTGCTTCATTCATGGAGGAAGGTGCCCCACTGTCCTGAGCAGCTTCAGGAGGAGCCTTCTGGGTGCTGGGAGCTCTGAAGGCTCATAGAAAATTCAACCACTTCCAGATTTGCTTGGAAATGGAGCTGAACCACATCTTGCTTCTGGCGCTTGAGCCCTTTATTGGATCTAAGCTCAAGTCGAGGGGCTGGGAGCAGTAGCCATCTCATAAGCTCCTTATGAGGATGAGCCACTAAAGGAACAAAAGTCTGTGGCGCATTAGAGAAGCATATTTCTGGAGGAAGGCTAGCTCAGTCCCTCTTGACATGATGTCTTGGGTGGGCAAGGCCTTTCCTTGGAGGTCTACAGATGTTCAGAGTAGATTTCTGCCTTCCCTGGTTTCCTTCTGGAGCAGCATGAGGGCTTTCATTTTGGGGCTTTGATCCCTTGCTCCTCAGTGACTAGTTCTCACTTTCTTTCCCTCTAGGATCATGGACAAAGACACACAGGGTATGCTCAAGTCTCCAGTGCCCTTCCTCCTAGGGCACAGCCTCTCCAAGGATGGCATGGACTCTTTCAGCAAGCATTTTGAAAGCATCATGGAGTCCCATCGAGCCAAAGGCACATCTTACACCAGCCTGGACTCCATTGACATCCTCTCCTCCCCAGCCCACACCCATGAGACGTTTTTCACTTTTGATCTCCCAACCCTCACCCCAGAAATACAGGGACAGATCCGAGACAGTGCCAAGCTGATCAAGGAGAACTTTGCTCCTCTGGCTCACTTGGAGCTGGACTCTGGGACCAGTTCAGCCACAGATGCCCCCTGGACGGAGAGGGAGGAGCGGGGGAGACGAAGGAAGGGTGCTCAGCACAGCCCTTGTCACTCAGAGGACAGCTTTGGTACTCCCTTGGCCTCCAACATGAGGTGAGTGACCAAAGTTACTTGCTGTCCAGCTGGACCACCAAGGCTTGCTGTGGAGTCTAACCCTGTGTGGTGTGTTTTTCAGCCAGAGCCTAACCTGTGTTGCTGGGGAAGAGGGAAAGGATCAGGACTGAGTGTGATGGATTTTCTGTGAAGTGCCTGATCAGGCCAGTGACCACCATGGTGTTGTGGTAGGCATGTCAGTGGGAGCGCATCTTTTTCATCTTTGCCAGCTTTGTTGGTGCTGGAGGGCTGTGAGGTTTCCTACAGCCTAGGAAGGAGGGAGTCCCAGGACTTCAATCCCATAGTGATTCCCATTGCAGGATAGTCCAACATCCATGGTGTCTGTGGAAAGAGACCAGTCAGAAGTCAAGTACCAGTATAAAATTAACAGGCTTTCCCTTCTGGAGGCCAAGACTTCCTGATACTGATGCATCTCTTACCATCCAAGTAGCAGTCTCCTGTTTCTTGAGGACAGGAGTCCCATGGTCTTGTACCTATTGCCCTGGCTTCCCGAACCTCCTCAGCCTTATGTATTTTTGGAGATGGAGGGCAGAGATGAGCACAGTCCACCAGAGTCTCCCTGTACATTGCTCCAAGCCTGCCTGCACCTGGGCTCAGGATGGCTGTCCCATGTCTGGGGAGATCTCTAGTGGAGTGGGCTGGGAGAGCTCAGCCCCACCACTTCCAACCTGTTCCTGTGTGAGACCATGTCCAGGCTGAGACACTACCTTCCTGTGCTCCTTCCCCTTCCAACAAGGTCTTGGGTGGAAACACGTGATATGGCAGGTTGGTGGGCCATATCTTTTCCCTTTCCAGGGTACACTCATCTGAAGTGTGGTCAGATCAGGTCTGGATGTCAGGTCTGGTCAGTGGTTCAGCTGCAGACCTGGCAACTCTCAGAGAACTTGGTGTCTCAGTCATGCCCGCTCTGACCTTCCTAATTGCATTGCCTCCCTGCAAGGTCTCTTTGCCCAGTGACCTTCTGTGCAATGCCAGAGCCTCCTGAAGCCCTCATCCACTCTCTAGGATTTGGTCTTTTCCACACCAAACTTTTTTGGGTTTGGTCTTCTCCAGACCAAACCTATGTCACTTATGGTCACTACCTGTGCCATCTTTGCAGGCTCAACTTGGGGTGGCCAGGTGGGAATCTGAGCTCTGTGTCCTCTCTGGTATCTGCAGTCAAGAGAGGAGAGTGGAAGAGAGTGGGGTATCACATCTGCTCTGTGGCTCCTGGATCACTTCTAGGGCATTTTGGGGCAGAGTTAGACCTTTCCTCTCTTTGGGACACGTTGGGTCATGGTGGCACAGAGTCCAGGCAAGGTTTGTGCGGTAAAACTGGTGATGTGTGAGAGGCACAAGGCAGAGAAGGATGGCAGTATCCAGCCATGATCCATGCTTTCTGCTGGAAGAATTGGCTTCCTATTCCTCTGCCAAGGCAAGGGACTGAAACAGAACACCCTGGAGAAACAGAGGACAGTGTCTGACTTGCCATCCACAGGGTGCCGTCATACCACAGCAACACCACCACAAGAACATGGGAGGGAGTGAGGGTGCAGAGACACAGCTGGCAGCAGGAATGGTAATGAGGTGGCTTAACAGAGGTTTTTCCTTACTGGTTTATAGTCAGCCGAGCACGGAGCATGCCGGCAGTGCCAAGGATGCTGTGACACTGTGCTCCCCTCCCAGCTCAGGTTTCAGAGCAGCGATGGGCTGCAGCACAGGCCATGGAGGGGTGTTGTATTGCTGTCCAAACTGCTTTGGATCATTGCTGAGCCCACCTTCACTGAGCCTTTTGTCTTCTCCTTTTCCAGCCCTCACAATCAGGAGTGCCTCTGCTTTGGTGGCAGGATAGCCCAGAGGAAACCCAGTTACAGCCGTCACTTCACTCCCTGGCCTGGGGACCTCAAGGCTTGGGCTTTCCCTAGCACCATAAACACCAACCTTGCCTTCTGTTACACATGCACATGGAGTCCCAAGCAACTATCTTTCCCCATTTAGAAACAATTCCCTTGCTTATCGGTAGGTCCCTAAATAGCCTTCTCTTAGTCTTGTTCAGGGCCTGTTTCTTGCTCACCTCCTGGGTTGCAGTGATATTCAGACCCACTGTGTTGCCCTGCAGCAGGTGAGCAGGTGCCCTGGCTCCAGCAGTGACCTGAAGCAGAGACTGCAGGAAAGATGGTGAGAAATGAAGCTTGGGGGAGCAGGACCCTGCCACAGGCCCTCAGCAGGCAGCACCCCAGCTTTCTGCTCCCTGGCATGGAGCGAGTCTCCCCTCGGAGCTCCCGTGGGTGATGGCAGACAGGGAGGCAGGTGTGGTTGGGATCTGCTGTCTTGTGTAGTGGGGAGGAGTGGAGACTGGGACTGGGAGCAGGAACTAGTCTGGTAAGCAGGGAAGGCATGGGGTACCAGGGCCTGAGACAGCCCATCATCTGCAGGGTCAGTCAGGAGGCAAGGCTCTCTGGCAAGGGAGAGGTGCAAGAAGTTTCCTCTTTCCCTGTCATTGGTGCTACCAACTTTCCAGACTGAGTGGAGCTGACCATGAAACTGAAGCTTCCCAAGTAGTCTGAGGAAGAATTGGCTGAGCTGATTATTCAGTTTCCTATGAGCTGGAATCAGTGGCTCCTAGTGCCAGGGCTGATCTGCTCAAGCAGGGAGTATCCTTGTGATACTTCCACTAAGGGGCATTTATTGGAAATTGCTGGGGAAAGGAGTTAAGGAACCTCTGCAGCCATTGTAATGCAACATCACCCGTGCCAGCAGAGCCAGAGCGGGGCATTCACCACTGCCCGCATTCACCACTGCCCACATTCACAAGCAGTACAGACTGACTGCCACCAGCTCAGATGGACTGGGGACCCCGGGCAGGGGGGCTCTGCAGTGAAGGCTGTCAGTCTCAAGGTTGTTGGAGGTGACCTCAGGCTGCAGGACTTTGGCTGGTGATGAACACCAGCAGGTCTAGGCCTGTGTGTGCTGCCCTGTGGCTGTTCCCCTTGTGCTCCCAAAATCTTTGGTTTAACTGTTGCAGTGTTTGGGGTCAGGGTCTGGGATGGGGGTGGCCCTGCAGCCTGTGACTTTCCATCTCTCCTGGTGGCAAGCATGGCCAAGCCAGTGATGCCCCCTGCATTGCTGGGGAGATGTGGTGTCCCCTGCGGCTGGTGGCCTCAGTGCATGCAGCCTCACAGCTCACTCCAAGGCTCTGGTGTCCCTCAGCCTGCAATAGCCTGAGACCATGCTTTTATCCTGACCTTGTATGTGGGGAGTGTGCCTAAGTGCAGACCCATTGAGGCCTCCTTGGGCTTTGGGATGCCTGTGTCTCCTCCAAGTGGGATCCCAGTGTGTGACCTTCTCCCTGCCCCTGCACAGACAGACACCCCACAGTGGCACCCCCAGCATGGCAGAGACTCCATGAGTAGGTTATTGCCCTATTTTGGCAGAGGGTGAAGGTGTGCAGGTATCCAGCTCTCGCTGGGCAGAGGGCTGCAGTTAAAGCAGTCTCCCCCGGGTCTGTGACGGTGACCTGCAGAGCGTGTGTGGGGGCATAGCCCTACTAGGGGCATCCCTGTAGGCCTGGGGGGGCTGGCGAAGAACAGATGGGTGCTGATGAGATGGCAGGGGGGCAGCCCTGGGGACTGCAGGAAGGTCTCTCCTGTGGTGACAGCCACACTTTTGCAACTGCAGGTCCAGATTGCTGGACTTGGCTGCACTGCCAGGGACAAGCGGGTGCGTTCCCATACACAGGCAGCCCAGGACTGCTGGCTCTGCAGGCAGGCACTGCAGGTTGTGGGGCGTCAGCCCCAGAGGGATGTAAATGGACAAATTGCATGTCCCTGGAGGTGCAAGCCCCCTGAAATCCAGCCACTCAACTTCCCTTGCCCATCCCACTCCTCCGGAGCCAGCCTTGGCCCCGGGCATAGCCATGCTAGTCCCTGAGGAGTGCCAGCTGAGGGAGGGGATGTGACATGCTCCCCTCTGGAGAGGCAAGCGAGGCAGGCTCTGCCAGGACCTGAATCGTGGACATCGCCTGAGGTGGGACAGAAAGAACGGCAGGCAGGAGAAGCAGCAGCAAAGGAAGGGGCTGCAAACCTCCTAGTGAAAAGGGCCAGATGCCACAGTGAGGGGCAGCACGCCCGGAGCCTCGCTAGAGGGAGAGCTCAGCCCTGGAGCTGCGGCTGCTGGGGAAGGACCGGAGAGCCTGTAGGTCTGGCAGCCGCCCCAGGCGGAGGTTGCGCCGGGAGTCAAACCGTCTTCCCTGCCAGATCTCGGCTGCTAGCATGTGCTGGAGCACCAAGGCCCTGCCAATAAGCACTGCTGTGTTTCTTTATAAGGTCCCTTTTGTTACTGCAGCGATCCGTGAGCCGCTGCCCCTCCCCTTCCTGAGGCCAGCGCAGGTCTCAGCTGGCCTGAGCTCCCAGGTGCCACTGGGCAAACTGGTGAGATGATGCCCTGAGGGCTGTGCTCAGTTTGGGCCCCGTGGGGTGGATTCAGGGTGTGATGTGGGAGGTTGGGGTGTGAGGGCTGAGCAGAGGAAGGAGAGCAACGAGGAAAGGATGGAGATAGAGGAAGGAGGGGATGGTATGAGGTGGAAGCACAGGAAGGGGACAAGGCTGGGGCACAGGATGAAGAGGTCTCCCTACAAGCATTGGCATGACAAGAAATGAGGCACAAGCCTGGGGGGGATTTTCCATCAAGCATTTCCATGTTGAGCCATGAAGGGCAGCAGGAGCTGGGACACAGGAGGTATCAGCCCACTGTGGCATGGAGGAGCTGGCAGGGCTGCCCACAGAGGCACAAGCAATGGCACATCTCTGTGGGATGTAGCCCTTTGTGTCAGGTGTTAAATCCAGCCCCTGGGTCTGACCCAGAGACCCCAGGCTGGGCTTTTTCCAAGGGTTCGAGAGACCCAGGTTTCCCTGCGCTGACCCCATGGCATCTGTGTCTGAAGAAAACAACCCTCCACCCAGCAGGTGAGTAACCAGATTTTAAGGCTCTCAGCTAGGTCCAGAAATTCTTTGGTGGGATTGCAGAGCCAGCTTCTGTCCTCTGCAGGAGCAGTTGTACCCCCCACAAGAGGGGCTGCTGGGATGGGGTGATGGAGGACAGGCAGACATCTCCAGAGAGGGCTGGTGCTGCAGGGGAGGTCTGGAAGTCTGCAGAGAAACAGGACTGAGGAGGGGCACAGCTGCCCAAAGTTCCTGGATCTGACGGCAGTTACACTGGTGGGTGCCACTGTGGCTGGGTGATTTGAGGGCTAGGGTGGACTCCAGAGCTGCCAGAAAGCAGGACCAGCCCTGCCTATGGTTTGAGGCTGGCATGGCTGACCTTCAAGTGTCCTCCCAGCCCTAACTTCAATTCTGTGAGAAATGAACCAGCCCAGATCTTTGCTGTCATAAATCAAAGTCGCTCCGCTGAGACCGATGGAGGGAGCTGCGTTTATTTAGCTCAGCCAAAGATCCGGTCTGGTACATTCTTAGCAGTGATATTAGGCAGGCTGGACTCGCTTGGCAGAGGCATCGGGCATCAAGGGCAAAGTTCTTCTCTGTCCTACACAGATGTCCCTCACAGACTCAGACCAAGCTCCCTGCCCTGCCCCTTCATGGTGTAGGATACAAACCAGCCTCCCATGGGGAGCAAGTGGCACTTGGGTTGTGGTTGGAGGTTTTGGATTTCCTACAGCAGGTCTCTCACCTGGATATGTGTCAGGCAGGACCTGGACAACCCGGGAGCTCAGCCACAAACTTCTAGCTGAAACCAATGGCCACCTGGCTCAGCCTGTCCCCAGGGTTGTCTCTCCTTCCCCGCTCCTCAGGAGCAGGGTATTGGTGCAGGTAGGGTCCCACCATGCAGGTACAGCGTGGGGAGGGTCCCACCATGCAGATACATCCCTGCTGGCAGCCAGGAGATGGAGGTCAGCCCTTCAGGGCAGGCTTTGCTGAAGCAGTGCCTTATTGCTGCCCCACATCCAGGAGAGGTTTGCTCCTGGTTGCTGGCAGCCATGGAGAGAAAACATGGTGCTGAGTGAGCCTGGTTTGTGGTGGCAAAGTGGAGAGGACATCGAGGCTCCTGCAGTGACATGCTGCATTGCAGCCAGGGAGGGTGCTGCGGTTTCTCCTGCTGGGCTCTGTGCAGCCAGCTAGAGGAGGAATATTGGGGTGAGATCAGGATCCGGCTCCAGCAAAGGAGCGTTTGGCCCCAGGAAGTTACATCTGGGCCCTGGAAAAGTATCTGGCCCGGGAGAAGGAATGTCTGTGGTGTGGTGGCCCTGAGCAGGACCATGGTCCTGCAGCAGCTCCCCAGGGCTGGGAGCATAACACAGCCCTCGTGCTGAGCTGCGATGGGAGGTGACTGGTGAAGAGCCTCTGTCCTGAGGCCAGCCCTGAGCTCAATCACGTCCCTTCCTTGCAGAGACCTCCAGAAGGGCCTCGCTGCTGCTGACACAGGTGCTGGGGACCTGGGCTTTCTAGCGAGCAGCTCTGAGGAGGCAGGGGGACCTTTGCTCCTGGCTATGTGGGGTACAGCAGTGACTGTCCTAGGCGGGCAGTGGGGAGAGGGATGAGCTAGCACTGGGTCCACTCAGGGATGACTCATTTCAGGCACACTGAGGATACTTGCACAATACCAAATTTGATCTTTATTCCTTAAGTGTGGGCCAGTTCTCGGGTTGAAAATGTATCTAATCTAAAAAATATTATCCCAGTGTTTCTTCAAGCCAAACTGAAATGTCACTTTAGAAAGTACACTAAAAAAAAACCCACCCTGAGACATTAGCTCATTGGCAAGAAAATTAACATCACCTCAGTTGTCTCAGACATGTACACGTCTCTTTGCTCTGTTCTCCGTTTGCTTGAGGATTGGTCTCTTGGTTTTCTCTCTTTAGGCTGCACGTTCTCCAAGCCAGCTGGGGCTTTGAGTGGTGACAGACAGGTGCCACAAATGGGGCACTCCCAGCCTATCGAGGCTGATGGTCCATATTTAAAAGCATGAGAGCGACTTGAGTGTTGGAAGAAAACCTCTTTCATGGCATGGCTGGATAGTGCCTCATCCTGAGAGCAAAGTTATGCTTTCCTGATGTAAAACCCCAAATCAGTATGGGGAGTTTGTGAGGGAGGAGAGAGAAGATTCTACTGGTAGAGCTGCTTTGAGACCCAGGCTGTGATGCCTGCATGCCCATTGCAAGAAGCAAGGCAAGAATTTCAGCCACGGATTGGAAGCCTGCAGGGAGATACAGATATTGAAGGACAAGAGAAGCTTTGTAAATGGCCCCATGCCTGGATGCTCAGCGCTAGGTAGGAAAGCTGAGGACCACAGATTGAGAAGAGAGATCATGGGGGAAGACTCAGAGCTCTATATTTTCCCCTGGAGGCTCCAGAAACTGGCCATGTGAGGGAGGACAAACTCTCAGGCAGGACAGGCAAGGTCCAGAAGGGTATCAGGAGATTTTAGTGATGGTGGTTGAGAAGAATTAAAAGGTCTTCACAGGGTGAATGAGGAGCTGCTTGCTCTGGAGGTGCAGCTGGAGCATGGGGAGTGGTGAAGGGGTGGCTTTGAGTTTTGTAGCTCAACCTATGGCTGGAAAAACAGCCTTGGAGCTGCTGGGCTGAGAAGGGGACAGTGCCTGTGACCCTGTGTTAACAGATAGAATTTTAGTGAAAAATACACTCACCACAACCCATGGCCAACAAGTGATAGTTGCTGGGATGGATTAATCTGTTCTGCTGCTGGAAAGCAAAGAGAGCATGAGCCCTCTCCTTGGCTGAAGGCACAGTGGCTGCAGCCACACAAGGAGCCGAAGTGGGGCAAGGTGTGTGCCCAGCAGTGGCCCGGCAGCACCCAGCCTGTTCTGCTGTCAGGTGCCCCCCGGGGTGGCTTTGGCCTTGCCAGTCAGTGCAGGCACAGCTGAAGGGCAGCAGGCACCAGGGCCCACACCATTAACATCTTTGGATGCAGCCACCCTGTTTTAGGAGAAGAGATTTTAGGCAGGTGGGAGGGATACCCACAGGACAGGGTGTGCTAGTGATGTGGACAGTGATGCTGGAAGCCTTCTACCCAGCACAGCTCCGCAGAGCAGGCAGACACAGAGCTGGTGAGCTCCTAGTGATCTTGTGGCCACTCTCGTGGCTGCTCCCACCAGGGTGGCATGTGGTGGTGGGCAGGCTTCCTGAGGAGGCCTGGAGCCAAATGAGCACAGATCTGTCCTGGACACTCATGCAGGTCTTACCACAGTCACTGCTCAGCATGCCAAGCTCAGCGGTGGTCTGAGCCAAGTGCATCTCCCCAGGGACTTGCAGGGTGTTAGAGCTGCTTTCACCAGGGAAGTGTCTGGCCCATAGATTGGAGCCCAGAGCAGCTTCTCCTGATGCAAGGCACCTGGGCATGCCAGGAGGGTGGGAGAAAGGTGCCCAAGAGCTCCCTAAGGCACAGGGCAGCCTGTCAGTGCTGCACAGGGCTTCCCTGGGATGAGCAGTGCTGAGCAGCAAGGAGGCTCATCCTTGGTGGAAGTAAGCGGAGCCTCAAGGAAATTGTCCTGGGTAACTAGCTCAGTAGAGCAGGCCTCTTAAAAGTCAATTAGAGACTTAAAAATAAATCAGACTGGAACATTGCGAGAGCTGCCAGAAAATTTGGGCAAGGTCAGAGTTGCTTAATGTTCGTTGTTGATTAGATTCAACCAGCTTTTTGGTTGGGATAACTTCTGAGCTGCTGAGTCAGACTGCTTCAGGGGCTAAGCCAAAAGCATCTCCTAACATGGCCATTTAAGGCATGGTGGGCTGAGAGCTGATGGGCAGCCTGAAGAAGACAGTGCACCCCACTGTGGGCTGGGAGGCTGTGGGGGTTTCCTTCATCTTTGTCCCCTCTGCTTTGGTTTTCACTTCTGTGAAGTGCTTTTAAGTTGGTGGGTGGGAAAAGGCAAGCAAAGGAATAATAGTTGTCTTGTCTTGAGTAGAAACTGCACTTGAGAGCAGCACGAGGAGTTTGTCCAGGTTAAAAAAATGAGTGCAGAGCTGTAGGACAGCATGTGATGTGCACATGCTTCTGTTCCAAGTCTCTGCTACGGCTGAGCTTGGCAGAGCCTGAGCCCACACATGCAGCTTTACAGGCTTAGGGTGGGGGACTTCAGAGCAGTTGTTCTGTCTCTCTAGATCCAGTTTGGACGTGGGTTTGAGTGCCTTCGTCCTGTCATTAGTCACTGGGGCTGTCTTGTCACCCCACCTCTCCTCCAGCCACATCCCCAAACCTTCCCTTAGCTCCCAGACCTGACCTTGGAGTGTCTCTAACTGATGTTGTTCATCCTGGGTCCCAGCAGTGTGTAGCTGGTTTCCAAAGCAGGGTGACGAACCTGCGTTTCCCAAGAAGTTGAACAAAGAGATGATCTCTAGGCAGGCTAACATAGAACGTCCCTTCCCATTGCAGCGACCACCCCCTGAGCCAGCTGGTTTCGGACTCAGACTCGGAGATGGACAGTGTGGAGCAGCTGGCCCTGGGCAGTACAGACACTCTCTCCAATGGACACAAGGCTGACCTGGAGGCTGCTAAACGCCTGGCCAAGAGGCTCTACAACCTGGATGGCTTTAAAAAAGCAGATGTGGCCCGCCACTTGGGGAAGAAGTACGTGTGGGTATTCTCAAGGAGTGTTCCATTCTGCAAGGGGCCCACCTGCACCTGCAGTGCACCCACAGCTGCTACCCTTGCAGGTCACTGCTCTGGCAGGACCCCAAAGATCACTCCCCATGACTGGTACATCTGTACCAAGTGTTCCCTCTAAAGGTTTTAAAATCTAAGAGACCTACAGGTTTTGGTACCTTCCTACCATGACTGCATCTTGGATGCTTCAGGAAGGTGTTGAGGGGGACAGCTAGCTGACCTCTCATGGGCTCTTCCAGCTCTAGCTTCTTCATTTTCTGTTACATACCCAGTATTGCCATTGGATCTGTGGGTGACTTCTCTGAGTTTCATGGGAGTGTGGTGCATCTCTGTCCTCAGTATGCTTCCCATAGACCTGGGGAGCTCCCAGCCTCCTAGAATCCACCCCACCCCTGTGTGCCTTTGGCTGTCTTCATTGTCTGGTTGATCCCACTCTTGCCCTCTCACCTTTTCTATTTCAGCAACGAGTTCAGCAGGATGGTGGCAGGGGAATATCTGAAGTTCTTTGTGTTCACGGGGATGAGCTTGGACCAGGCTCTCAGGTCAGAGCTGAGTCTGTGTACATGTGTGTATGTATGGTGGCCACCCAAGTGGGATCCCAGCAGACGGTGCCCTCTGCAGCTCTGCACCCACACAGAGATCTGCAGGAGCAGGCAGGCCCTATGTCTCCCACCTAGAGGTCTCCTTACCTCTTAAATAAGGGACAGTGATTCCCAAAGTGGTGTCTCAGCCACAAACCCAAGAAAGAGCACTCCTGGTCTTAACTCAATGGTCAGTGCAATTTGGTGATTGGTGACTGTCAGGTTCACCTGGGACTGGCTGTCCAGGCCTTGAGCCCAGACCCTCCTGGTGTTACCCCACCTCTTTTCCCGGTGTAGTCCCTGGGGCTGGCTGTAGGTCTCTGCGATGTGCCAGCAGGGTATGGTGCTATGGGTTTTTAAGGGGAGCCCTGCAGTGGGTTGGGAGGGATGCACGATGGCAGGGCTTCATCCAGCGCATATGGGGGTCTCCAAACCAGAAAGCACAGCTCCACTCTTGCACAGGGTGGGTTAGAGAAGCTGCTGGTGGGCTTCATGTGTGACCAACACTGCTGCTGCTTCTTCAGATCCTTTCTAAAGGAGCTGGCCTTGATGGGAGAGACTCAAGAACGAGAGCGAGTGCTGGCTCATTTTTCCCAGCGCTATTACGAGTGTAATCCCAACGCCATCTCTTCAGAGGGTAAGAAACTCTGCATGTCTGTGTGTGCATGTGTTTCAAGTGAGCCCATGTGTTTGTCAGCCCGATGAAGGTGCTCAAAATAAAATCAGAGAGCAGGCTGAGAGCCTGTACTGACACCTTAGGAGACATCCCCAGTTATGGAGATGACATTTCCCTCAAATGACAGATGCTTTCGATTTTTTTTTTTATAAAAAAACCCTGCTCCAGTTGGATCATGAATAATTAGGGTTCAACCCATCCTTAATTGTGACTTTGAACAGATTAGCACAAGAGGCAAGAGAAGGCCCTCCTCCCCAAATAGACCCCAGCCCTCCGATCCTCAGTTCAGGGAATAGCCAGGTGAGAAAACATGGGTACCCAGCATTCCAGGCAGCACAGACACGCACTTTGTACCGTTTCATGTCTTTTTGCCTCTCCTGTGTGCATTCACGTGCTGGGTCTGCTCTGGGCTGGCTCTGGGGCAGGTGAGGGCTGGCTGGCAGAGGGCTGTGCTGGTCCCACCTTGCCATGCTAGGAGCTCTGCAGGATTAGCTGCAGCATTGCTGCTTGGCTGAAGGGGCTGCAGGCTTGAAAGGGAGTTTGTATGCTCAAGTTTAGGACCACCTTTAATTCAGTGGCCTCCTACCTACTCACCCGCATGCTGGCAGCACCGTGCTGACTGCTGTGTGCCCCGTGGGCCTGGCGTGGGAGGAATGGGCTTGGGGCTGTTTGGGGACTTGGAGTCCCCTTGCCCTGCCTGAGATGCCAAGGGGCTGGAGCACCAGCTGCAGGGCTGAGATGGGGACACTAATTTCTGTCCTGTGCTTCTGCTGCAGACGGAGCCCACACCCTCACCTGTGCCCTGATGTTACTAAACACGGATCTGCATGGACACGTAAGTTCTAACTGCCATCAGCCCCATCTGTACCTGCACTCTCTGACCCCACCACCCCGTACTGTAGGTGCTGGGCTAAGAGCAAGGACTTGCAAGGACAGAGCCCTGTGAGCAGGAGGCACAAGACCCTGGGCCTGCAAGGGCTGGTCATCCCTAATGTGTCTGGGGTGGAGACAGGAGAAAGGCTGAATGAGAGGAGCAGCTGGTGAAGGAGAGAGTGGGACTTTGGAGAGAATGTGCTGAGCTGGAAGATGTGGAGATGGGATGACGACAGAAGAGAGAAGTGAACAGGGAGTGAAGATGGGAATGAGACTCTAAAACCAGCTGCCATTGGGAGCGGGTAGCTCCCAACTTGGAAAAAAAAGGAGGCTATTTAAAACTTCCAGAGTCTAGGCAAAGCTAACAGCTTCCCCACACCTGCAAGCAGCCTCCCTGGCTTGTCCCTCATCCCGCTGCAGAGATGGAGGGTCTGTTCCTGGGCTGTGGGACCTGCTCCAGCCAGCACCAGTCCCTAGCCTGAAGATAACCCCCACATTTCTCTCCCCCAATTCCCCCAGAACATTGGGAAGAGAATGTCCTGCTCCGACTTCATTGGCAACTTGGAGGGACTCAATGGAGGCACTGATTTCCCCAAGGAGCTGCTCAAGGTAAATTCGATCGGTCTCCCTGGCCAGCCAAGCAGCAGGAGCAAAAGTGAGAGCTTTGGGCAGGATCACATGGATGGCTATGTGGGATGCAATGAATGTGTCCATCCTCATGCAGGAATGGTGGTGGTCCCTTGGCCTACAGTTTTCCTCCTACTTTGCTGAGGGGGACATGGGCTGCTCTATTGCCCCGGGAGGATGCTGGAGCTCCAGCTGTGGTCCTTATTCCCTCGCTGCTCTTGCTGTACCTGCATCGCAGGCCAAGGGCCACCTGTGGGGGCAGCTTACTAGGGTTGGTTTGCCCAGCTGCAGTGGTGCTCGACCTTCCTGGCTCCCTAGAGCACTGGATCCCAAAGCTGTGGCCAGGCTTTGCAACTGGAGCCATCTCCAGTGGCAGAGGGAACATTTCTGGTGACATGGGCAAGGCATGATGGGGAGGATGGGGTGGTGGTTAATCCCCGGAGCTGGGAACTCACCACACTGGTGTGACTGGGGGACTCCTTCCTTCTCCCTGCCTGACCCAGTTTCCAGCAGGGCTTGGCCAGGGAGGGCAGTGTTCAGTGAGCACCTCTGGCCTTGAACTGCTGGGCTTCTCTGGCATTGCCTGTTCTTGGGAGGGTTTTGTGAGCTGCCATCCCCACATCTTGGGCGTTGGAAATAGTCTTAGATCCCATGGAATCTGTGGGCAGAAACCACCATTGCTGTCGGTAAAGTGCTACAGCTGACAAATACTTGTGATGTGGAAGATGGGTTCCCACAGGGTGCTGGAGCCATGACGGGGGGAGATGGTCGATGAAAAGAGGCAACAGAGTGTGAAAAGCTGAGCTTCCCTTTCAGCCTCTGTGGGTCTATTCCTGGCTGTGTCGCTCACCTCATCATTGAGGGGTTACCAGCAGCTCTCAATAGGGCTGTCCTCCCTCTCAGCCCACGCTTGACCAGTAAAAAGAGTTACTCAAGAAAAATTCTCCTCTAATTTTAAACCGAGCTCCAGAAGAGGCTTTAAGCACCCAAAATGGAATAGAAACATCCAAAATCAGGACCCTGAACCCCTGACCTCCAGTGCTGCTGTGCCCTGGAGCATCCAAGCTCTGCAAGCTCCTTGCGTGCCCCCTCTGCAGCCCTCAGCACTTCACAGTTGAGTAGCTGCACTTCAGGACCTGCCCCATCCCTATTAAACTTCACCCTCAAAAGTACCAGAAGTTTAAACATGCGAGATCAAGTTATCCCATCACATCCCAGCCAGTGGGAAATAGAGCAGCAAGGAAGTGCCAGGAAGCTATAGGCTTTCTCTCATGGGTAGGGGCCAAGACCTTTGCTGGGTGTAAGGGAGTGGTGGGAGGCTGCAGCGCTGCAGCACAGCCCTGCACAGCTCTGCCCGCAGCCCAGCAGTGGGGAGGCTGTTCTGCTAAAAATGGCCTGTTCCCTCTGCAGCTGCGGTGCTTCCCACTGCTGCTTTTCAGCCGCCTCTGTACGGGAGCCATGCTGGGGAGGGGGAGCGAAAGGCAGCGTGAAGAACCGTGCTCAGGGCAGGCTGCAGCTCCTCACCTGGAGCACTGCTCCACTTTGGGGAGCCTCTGCCCGTGCAAGGGGAAGCAGTGTCCTGGGGTGGGTAAGATGGGAAAAGTGGTTGGCCTGTGCTGGGGAGGGGGTCAGCAAGGAACAGCACCTGAAGGGGCTGTGCCCCCACTGGGCAGCTTTTGCCAGGCTCAGCTGGAGAAGACGCCCTCTCCATTCTGCATCCCGCTTTCGGCAGCTTAGTGCTTTGGTTCCCACACAGGCTCAGGGGGCAGAGAAATGGGGAAAGGCTTTCCCACTGCCTGTGTAAGCCTGCTCTTGCCCCTTTACCATGTATAGGATGCTGCTTCCTCAGCAGACATGGCTGGCGGGCAGTGCCTGGGGACTGAGGCTCCTGTGCAAGTGTGCTGCACAGCTGGCTGGCTAATTTTAGCACTCCAGGAGCACACGCATTTCCTAAGGGCAGCTGGGGAGGGGAAGGACTGGCAAGCTTCACAGGAGCTTCCAAAAGCTCAGGGCTGGGTCTGGGGCAGCTCCAGCAGTGCAGAAGGGTGCTGGGGGCTCTTCCAGGCCTGCCTGGGGAGATAGTGCAGGCTGCTACCCCACAGGCTTCAGAGCTGGAGCAATGGAGGTGGCCTTCACCCACAGTGCTCGCCACCAGGGAATGGGGACAGCAGGGCAGGACCTATGTGGCTGTAGGGGACACAAGGCCACCATTCCCTGTGATGGGGGACAGCATCAGGAATAGACCTGTGGGGAGCCCAGGCACTCTCCTTGTCTCTGGCTGCAGGGAGTCCCAAGACAAATGCAGCATAATGCCTGAGAGCGGGTGGCAGCCTGAGTCAGACGAGAACTTTATCTGCTACTAGATAATACATGTAAACAATCCCAGTTTTATGTAGAAGAAATGAAAACACTTGAAAGCGTGTGCTTTCACAGCTGAGCACCACGTCCCCCTCACTGGCAGTGCCTTACTGTGCCCTGCACGGCACTATTGCTGGAGATAAGACAGCAATGCCTTACCAGCACTGCTGCTGGAAACCCTTTCCTCTGGCTCTGAAAGCTCCCCTGGAGAATCGTACTCTGAAGGCAGGGCTGCCTAGCTCCTCCAACTCGGGGTCCTCCCCACAGGCACAGGGACCCATGCCTGGGATATAAGAACCCATATAATGCTGTGACTGAGAATGCCCATATCTGCAGTCTTGGACCCAAACTCCTGTGGCCAAATGAAGGCAGCTGCCTGCCCAGCAAGGAAGGAGGCAAAGCGGGATGTCCTGGAGCTGGTGGTGTTTTGGTTAGCTCTTGAGATGTTGCTCTTCTTTTGTCAGTGTGATTTTAGCCCAGGACCCCTGGGATTTCACTCACTGTTGCTGGTTGTCTGTTATATTTCAGATGTGGATTTGACCTTTACATGATTGATCACTGTGTGGAGCCTTAGTTCTTCTCCATCTTCCTTACTCTTTTAGCTTAACCTTGTGCTTCACTGGCTGGCCGCAACACAGTATGGTCAAATCAGACCCCATTTCTCCCCCGCGCTGCTTAGCGATTGAAGGAGTGAGTGAAATCTGTGCTGCCTTCCAGCCTAGGAGCCCAGAGCACTTCAGAGATGTTAATGAATTAAGCCTGACAATACAGTTGTGTCCCCGGGGGCGGAAGGTAGGATGGGCCCCCACCTTCCAGCTTGGAGGCACAACGGCAGGGCTCAGACGCTTAGAGTGCTGGGTAAGTGATTAGCAATGTGGGAAGAAAGCCCTGGCTCCCACCTCTGAGCTATAATCAGGGAAACGCTTGCTCAGTCTAATCCCCCGGGCTATTATTTTTTTTGCCTGTTTCCCCAGGGATCGATACGCTGCCCCGCCCCTGTCTCCCGTGGCTCCCCCCGGCCTCAGGGGCAGTCCAGCACATTTGATGTGCCAGGCACCCATGCCCCCTCCCTCACAAGTTTTGCCCAGCGATCACTATGCCAAGCAGTTAGGACAGAGTGGAAAATTTCCCCTTCTCTACTGGCCGCATCTCCTACTCAGTCAAGCCTAAGTAAATTACGCATCAATCCTCATGCCTTCTGCAAGGATGCCCAGCCCTTGCTTCTTCACAGGAACAGCTGCCTGGAGCATCTATGTTCTGCCCTTGACCACCTGCGCGGCTCCAGCTAGTAATTTTTCTGGCCAGACCTCGAAAGGATGGGCAGGAGGGTTAAGTGTGGGGCGTGCACTGAAGATGGAAGGTCTGAGCACACATCTCCACCGGGCCCGTCTCTTACCAGTCCGGTCCTTCGGAGGTCCCTGGTGTGGGCTGGCCTGCAGCAGCAGCTCTGAAGCCTGCCCAGCTGGCACAGAGCGGAGGTGCCGCCCGGCCGCTGGAGCTTAGGAGATGTCACCACCGCTGCCCCCAGCCCCATGAGCCCCCGAGGGTCCAGCCGCCGGCTCCCG